GAGTTCCCCTGGGAATTCTGCTTTCAACCCTTCTGTGTTCTCAGAGGCGTGTCTACTTTTAATTGGTCAATATCTAAATTGACCTCTTCCTTCCGGGAAAAATTATCTTTCCGTGTCAAACCACGACATTCCACCCTTCGCCTCTGAGAACACAGACTACAAAAGGAAAAAAATTATTATCAAAATTACATTCAACACATTTTACATAAAACAGCAATTTACACTAAATCTCCACCCCAGTTCATTTCAAAATCCAACACATGCTTTGCTCTTATTTTTCCTGATCCCATTTCACAGCATTCACCTTATCACCATCTTATCTTATCTTATTTGATCTTATCTTATTTTTTCCCGGTCAGGGAACCAAATGTCATGGTTTGACACTGGCACAATGCCAGTGCTTCTATGAAAATGTGATCTCTACTTTGAATGCTGTGAAGTGGAATCTAGAATAGAGCAAAGCAGGCCTAAACTTGATAACAGGAAAAAAACTTTATTAAACTACTACTACAAAAGAAAAGAGAAAACTAAAGAAGGGAAAAAAAACTACACAAAGATTCAAATGAAAACCTTGCAAAACATTCCTCCCCCCACCACCCAACTCTAACAAACCACAGTGAGACACAATCTGGACTCCAATCAGGTTTTTACCCTCTAAACAACCGATATCCAGTCCATCGAGGGAACAGAGTTTCTCTTGTGCCACAGACCCCCCAAGAAACACAGCTCTACATCCTGTGTTTCCATGTCACACATGGCACCGCCCGGAGAAAAAGTTTGCCATGGTGACCCTTCTCCTTTTTATGCACAGTGCTCTCACTACTAATGCATGGATGGTTACTGCTTTTAGGATTTTTCTTTTCAAGGATGCCCTGCCAAGAGGGGAGAAAACAACAGTTTAGTTTTTCATTGTTTGGGACCACAGTCCCCCCCATTTTCCCCTGGGGCCGAGGGCTCAAGAACAGAGATCTTCTTCTCTTCTCTTTTCCTTTCCAGGGCAAGGGGGCGCTACCACAAACCCCCTAACCTTTTCTCTGTTCACTCCACTTTTGTCTTTTTCTCAGCTGAAGCAGGTCTCTCGACTCACTGGCATCCTCCCAAGACACAGTCCCTCTTGAAGGAGAAGATTTGTTTCAGGTTGTGGTTAACATGGAAAAGTTCAGCTAAAAGCCACTCCTTGTCCCCCTCTCATGTAGAATTTCTCTTTCCAACATCCCATCCCAGGGTCTAAGGTGTCCCTCTTCTTCTCTTTCAAACCGAGGAGGGGAAAGGAAAATTCACAAAGTTTTCATTTCTCAAGGAAAGGGTTAAAAGTCCGAACTCCCAGGATGGCTCGATGCCCGGACATTCAGCAACTCTCACACAACTGGGCACCTTGCAGCAGCTCCCCCCGCTCCTCTTTCCTCGCGGCTTTCTCTCTCCCTCTCGGGAGAGGAACTCTGGAGGGGGAAATGGAGACATCCCAGATTTCTTCCACCCTTCCATCTGCAGGGGCCAGCCCGGTTCTAGTCCCTTCATTCTTCGGAGTTACCTCCATCAAGCCATAGGGGCTTCCCCTCCCCCACCCAGCTCGTGGCTGGGGGGGGAAGGTCTGCACTGCACGCTGACCGGAACCAAAGAGAGTGAGTTCCCCTGGGAATTCTGCTTTCAACCCTTCTGTGTTCTCA